GGGTTTCATAGTTCCTTGGCTTTTTAAGTTTATTCTTAGTCCTTAGACACATTTCATATTGTATGTACTGGAAGACATACAATTTACACTCAAAAGGTACAACTCCGTAGCTAGCCTGGTCTTGTATGTCTAAATAATGACTCAATAAATATCAATATAATTAGCAATTTACGTTGATTTCAAAATGTTCCTGCTGAGTCAGTGAGTACCTCCACATGGCCTCTGACGGTGCAGAATGTTGCTGGACACTCTGCACAAAGGGGTTTATCCTACTCTGCCCCAGCCTTTCTCCCCCTTTCTTCAGTACCCACTATATTCTGTGAAATGCTACAACCCACATTCAGTCTGTATTTGTAATGCATCCTCTTCTGTTCCTTCACATATGGCAGTCTGAAACAATTACATAATGAGACATTTTATCAGGGCATAACTGTCAGAAATGAAGACTAAGCTATGAATAAATATTACTCACTTATTAACTGTGCTGCTCGTGTGTCCTGCAATCTATATGTGCCCCTGACTTTCAGATTTACATTCATATTCCTGATTACTTGTGTAAAAAATAAATGCAGCGCGAATTATGTTCAGAAAGACATACATGAAGTTTATAAAGATGTATAAACTTTAAAATGACAAATTCTATTGTAAAGTACTGTTTCTTACCATTTTTGTGCTATATAGTCTTTTTTACCAGTCCAATGAAATCTAGTGACTCTTCTCAGACATAATGTTTTAAAATTTATAAAATAAAATATGTAGGCTAAAAAAGGAAATCAATTATATTAAACTGTTAAAATTTTGATTTTGAGATATATATGCTTTTCTATTAAAACTTACATTAAAATACTGTTGGAAATTTTGATTTAGAGATATATATGCTTTCTTATTAACAAATTTAAATCTAAACATTTAATAACTATTAAAATTTAACATAACAAATATAAATATTTTGAAATATTGCATAAAATAAAAATTAAAATTTAATGTATTATTTTATTTTATAGGGAATATTGTAGATATTTGATATTGAAGATAATTAAAATGTATTGCCTTTTCTTAAAGTAGGAATTATTGTAACAACTATAACATATTTATCAGTGACAAAGTCACAGCTATTCCTGCCTACATTTATATTTGAAAGACATGCTTAATTTCAATTACATGTTAGTGAAAAATAAAGTTGCATTTTTCCTATTCAGATTCACAGACCATGTGTCAAGAATCCTGATCCAGTATGACCCAATTTTGATGATTTTATCAAGTTTCTTCCCTCTGAAGTACCTCTTACAGACGTTCTGTTTTAAATGTTGAAATAGCTAATCTGAAAGCTTGTCTTATCTCTGTTTACTCCCATGGAGATTTTTAAAAAGACATGTAAACTCTTTCAGAAACGTCCTGTGTTTTCGTTCAAAAGTATACTTTATAACATTAAATTGAACAAAGGCAACATCTTCCTCTAGATAGACACATATGCATCTCAATATCATAGTGTCAGTATTTCACAGTGCTTGACAGATTACTTTGGAAGGTAAAGCTGTTTCCCACTTGACATCTCCAGGTCTGCTTGCAACTTCCGCCTTCCTATTTATGACTTTTCTTTTTCTCACACTCAAGAAAGCCGAGCGGAAGCAATGATTGAGCACGCTAATGAATGTTAAACTGTTTTACTTTCTTTTGTAATAAAGTTACTTGGAACCTTTTGGTGTTCCCTGATAAATAACAAATGGATTGTGGCAATCCTCACAGTACACCAGCCTGGTGAGATGCCCTGGTTGAGAACAGCTGTTCTATGCATGGTTACATACACTGTGGAATTAATGCTGGAACATTATGTCTTTCAGGCATTTTAAAAAGTCGCCATTTAGCATTTATAGCAGCCGTACTAAGGTGAAAACCTTACTGATCTCAAAGTGTTCATGTTTCTCTAAAGCATAGGTTGGCAAACTTATCTAAAGGTCCGCATAGTAAATATTTTCAGCTTTGTTGACCATATGGTCTCTACTCTACCTTTGTAGTAAAAAAAGAGACAAAGAAGAGACCTAAACCAATGAGTGTGGGTTTGTTCCAATGAAAACTAATTTATGGGCACTGAAATTTGAATTTCATGTTATTTTTAGATATTATAATATCTTAATTTTTTTTTAATATATAAAACTCACTCTTAATTTGTTGTGAGCCATACATCATCTTTTGCTGCTCCCATGCTTCAATCTGAAGCCAATAGCCAGGTAGCAAACCCATTAAGTAGGCTGATCTAGCTGGTTAAGCCATCCCAAGGAGAACTGTACTTAAAATAACTCTTAGCTAGAACGTGAAGTGAGGAAGTCTGATGTGTCAAAGGATACCACACATAGAAACAGAATTCAAAATTGCATAGAAACTCTTATCTGTCTGAAATCAATCAGGACCCTGATCTCAAAGATAACATGGAGGGGGAATCAGTTATATACAGACAGATTTCAGATCGTGCTGTATCAAAAAAATGTGGAAGTGTTATGGGAACAAATTTGTGCAATACAAACGTAGAGTTTCATTTTGTTTTTGTTTTCTCTCCCTGAACGCCTAATTAAAAGGAGTATGGTATTTATTTGCCTTTGCTAGAGTCAGTAAACATGGTACTATTCCTATAAACTTACTTGTGTTAGCAAGAACATGAAAGTTTAAAATCCCGGGTATCCTAAACCTATGAGAAATGGCTTCATTACTGATTATTAACAGCAGAATTGATATTCAAGGCATTTTTGCAAGCAGAAAAACAAAGACAAATTAAAAGAAAGAAAAAAAATCAGAAGGAGGGTGGTAGACAGTAGCAATATGGTGTGGGTATAGACAGATCCTTGTGATTCATGAAAAAGTTAGGGCTCAGATTAACTCTGTCTTGAGAAAGTATTTCATTTCTTATAGAATGGTTCCCATCAACCAGTTTCAGATCATTGCAGAAATCAACACAAAATTCTACCTATTTAGGAATCAGGCCGTGCAAAATCTACAGTACTAAATGTGAACTCAAATCCTGTGATGGTGATCATCGTGGTGGTCGTTGTTGTTTTATAAATATCAGCAGGCACACATCTGGGACTCTAGTGCTTGCCACAATGTCGTCTTCTGGTTGACATATATCTAAGAAATGCGTATATTAACACCCAGGCTATAGAGCCAAGCACATTTTAGTGCCGGCTACAGCTGAAAGAATATGTTTCCATTCCTTGTCCATCTGTTCTTGGCAACATAAATTTAAACTAGAAACACAGAATAAGTTTCATGAGAAATATGTCTAAATGGGGTTTAGAACAGCCAGGTGGATGCTCTACGTTAACATTTGATTTTGTAGCTAAAATATTGTTTTTGGAGTAATCTCATGCTACAGCTAGAGCTTAAAGTTAAAAATAATAGATTTTTATTATTCACTTAAAAGTTTGGTGGGTTGCTCACGTATTCTTCTTCAAGTGCTTTTATTACATTTCCCTACGATCCTGGGCTTAATGAACTTTGAGATTGCAAAGCACTGTTTGCTGCCACACAGTTGAACTACACTGAAAATAAATCATTAGCATCTCTAAACTCTATGCTAAAATGGAGTCATGAGTGAGGAGTGAGCACATTCTGTACAAAACAGATTCCATACAAAACACATTTGTTTGCTTCTCTCTGAGTCCAACCTCAGCTATGACCAACTATTACGTAGGTATCTTGTATAATCGTCATGCCTCCCACGGTATTCCACTCTTTTAGTTTTCCTGCTACTCAGCAATGTAAAAGTATTTGTTTACATTTGAAAATGCACAAAAACACATAAGAATGTTAAAATGGAAAAGAACCATATATGTTCACCTAGACCTCGGCCTCCAAGTCAAGGTTCCCAGCCTTCTGAGTTAAATAGGTGAGCAGATGGGCTGCCACTGTGTCTTGTGACAGGACTGTCTGGGATTCTGTTGATGTGAATTCAACTTCTGCTTTCTGGCTGAATGCAAATACTCAGATGGAAAGGAACCCTGAAGCTCGCACAGTCCAACCCCCACCTTTATGTTAAGATGATTTCTAAAATTTTGTAAAGTCTGCCCTATTCGTATCATTGATTTATCAAATGTAGCATAGTGCATCAAAGCAATTGGGTTCACATACTGGTTCTGTCACTTTCTCGGTATGTGCATATGAATAGTTATTAACTTCTCCAAGGTTAGCTTCTCTATCTGTAAATGCAAATAATCACATTTATCTTAAATTGGTCTGGAGCAGGAGCAAATGAGATAGTACAAAGCCGGTAGTCCTAGTAAATACTCAGCAAGTCATACCTCTTATTATTAGCCCCTTTCTAATATCCTTCTGCTAAAAAGAATAATAATTATTGCATGGGACTAATTATCTAGTCTACTCCAAAACAGTATTTTGGTAGAATATTGCGTAACATCAGAAAAACATTTCACAAAACTACTATTGTTTCTTCTTTGCACAAAGTTGAACATCTGCACAAAGTAACCTATTACTATGGACAAATTACTCAAAGATTTGGGGACTCCATCCTCTAATGTATAAAATGAGAAGCTTCAACTCCATGATCTCTAAGGTCTCTTGTTCGAGCAGCTTAACAAAGTCATGTTTGACAGCATATCCTCATATTTTATTTATAGTGTTGAAATGTGTATTTGCTGCCAAATGTGTGATGTGGGATGTATAAATGGTCCATATATACATGTGGAATAACATTAAGTTTGTTGATGTTAAAAACTACTGGTATATATATTTTTTGGTATTATTTGGCTCAGAATCTGTGCTTCCCATTTTGTTTTAGAATAAGCTGACAGCAAATCATTTTCTGCAGAGCCTCAAGGTTTAGTTAAACTGAGAGTTATAAAAGTAGGCCATCTTTTTATTACTTTAGGTTTCTAAGACAAGCTTTTTTTGTGAAGTGGCTTTTTTTTAATCTCCATAATATCGAATAGTATTAAATTTTGGACATATGTGTACACACTGTAACTTAAAAGGCATCTGCTTTCTTTCAGATCTGAGCGACCAGCTGCTGGAGGTGGTTGGCTTGGAAGGAGCCATGGAGATGGGACAGATATACACAGGCCTGAAAAGTGCTGGCCGACGACTGGCTCAGTGCTCCTGCGTGGTCATCAGGTACTTCTTTTTCTGTAATTGACAAAGGTGTTTGATATGGCATAGCCTCAAACTAATTAAAAGTATGCAGAACTCTGATAGTAACACTGTCTTATTTGGGCTCCAAATGATCAGTAATTAATACTAACATATTTCAAAATAATGAGCATTGGCAGATTTTATAAAATACTGGTTACCTATTATCTGGTTTGGTGGAATCTGATTCTCTCTTGCTGACTACCATGGACACATTGATGCACGAATTCAAAGATACAAATTCTATGGTTTATACTCACATTAGTCTACTGAAGCCCCAAAGTATTTACTGGGCTAATTATATAATAAAAACAATAATGAGACAGCATTGTTTCATGGACTAAAGTGTCACAGTGTTTCTATAAAATTAAAAAATTATTGTGCAGTAAGATTTTTATATGCTTTAAATTTGAACTTTTTAAAGTATATTTTCCCCCAAAATTTCACCTGAAGGAGAAAAATAATAATAATAAAGGTCGTCTATCTCTCTCTTTTTTTCTCCCCCCCCCCCCCCCCCCCCAGATAGAGTTTTGTTCTTGTTGCCCAGGTTGGAGTACAGTGGCATGATCTTGGTCCACTGCAACCTCCGCCTTTCTGGTTCAAGCGATTCTCTTGCCTCAGCCTCCCAAAGAGCTGGGATTACCGATACCCGCCACTACGCACAGCTAATTTTTGTATTATTAGTAGAGACGGGGTTTCACCATGTTGGCCAGACTGTTCTTGAACTCCTGGCCTCGTGATCCGCCCGAGTGAAATCACGGATTGTAGCACAAACATAGTTGATGTTATTTATCTGAAAGTGTTGGTGATGGAGAATCTGAGATATCAAACACCTTTCTCCTGGTTTGCAATGGAGGGTTACGAAAACGGGGAAGCTCTTTTGGCTATGGAAATTCTGATCATGCCATGAAACATAAACCTTGATATCTTTCTTTGGCATCCAGAATTTTTTTTAATACCACCACATTTACCAAGAAGCTCATAATATTCTTATGACTAAGGTACTTTTCAGGGTATTTATTAATAGTGGAGAATTGAAGCTCCTTTCATGGGAGATAAATTTAGAGCCCAGCTATTACCATATTGCCTTCCCTGGTCTCATCATCTCATATCTCACATGTAGTCTGTAATGTAAAGTACTTCAGTGGTATACCTAAAATGAAATGTTCTCCCCCAGGACTAGCAAGTCTCTGCCGATGCAAATTGATGGGGAGCCATGGATGCAGACCCCGTGCACAGTGAGTACAGAGTAGTTGTTTTGCTGCATTTTGCTTTCCTCTGTGACTAAATAACCACAATCACTGATTTTTTTTTATGTCTTTTCAACTTATCAGCAAATAATCTTCTTGCTGTTGTAGTTGTGTGTCAGAGCCACTTAGGTTTTAGACATTATATACCCTTGGCAATGATTTAGCTCTTGAATGTTCGTGATATCCTAAGTATAAATAAATCTTTTAAATAGATCAATTATAAGCCATAGAACCAACTATAGACTCTGGAACTAAACCAAAATACGAACAGAAGTTTCTCTTAAACTTTTTGTGTTTATGTCAGAGCACCTCATGAAAATATTCACAAGACCTGCAGACATCAGCTTAAATCTGAATTTATTTCTCATCTGTTCTTTTGCCTCCATTTGGGGATTTGAAGGCTTTCTTATCTGCAGGAAAAAAAAAATTCCTCTCCAGTTTTTACCATAGTTGTCTTTTCCAGAATGAGATACTTAAGTCAGACATTTTGCCCCTCTCAAAAAAATTCAATTTTTGTTTGCATAGTAAATATCTTATTACTTTTCAAAAACATGTTAGGAACTGTTTTTGGCACTGAGAGTAGAAACATGAACAAGACCAACGATGTAATTTTTTCTAGTTACTTACAGTCCACTAACAGGGGACCAAATAAATAAACAAATATATGATAAATATAACTTCATATTGTAAGAGTGATTTAAAAAAAAATAAGGAGAAATGATGAGGAGAAACTGGATTAAGTGTGGCGAATACTTCTTGAGATCAGTGGATCTGGGAAACATCTTTGAAAGGACTGGGCCAAAAGCTCAGTATGAAATCAAAAAACAAAAATTAGCCGGGCATGTTAGCACACACCTGTAGTCCCAGCTACTCAGGAGGTTGAGGCAGGAGAATCGCTTGAAGCCAGGAGGCAGAGGTTGCAGTGAACCAAAATTTTGCCACTGTGTTCCAGCCTGGGTGACAGGGTAAAACTCCATCTCAAGAAATAACAATAAAAATAAAGGCACTAAGGAGGGTGGTGTGACCAGAGCATCTAGATTTAGGGGTGACTGGTAAGAGATCAAGTAGGAAAGGTAGACACACAGACAGAAAACAGATCATGTAGAAAAAATGATTGTAAAGAGTTAAATTTTGATTCTAAGCCCAATAGGAAACGACTGAAAACTGCAACCATCATCTGATTTACATTTTTTAAGTTTACAGTGGCTGCTCTGTGGAGGATTGATTGTACTGAGCGGCAACTGAGAGATTGGTCTCTCCTAGTGTTCTGGGCTTGGGGAAGGGTAACGGCAGGGAAGTAAAATGAAAGTGGATGAATTTAAGCTATCTTCCGGAGGTAAAACAGGAAAAATTGACTAATGAGTTCGTGAGGTACAGGATGGGGGAGGAGGGAAAGAACTGAATCAAAGTTAACTCTTTTTAAAATTTTTGTTATTATTATCCTTTAAGTTCTGGGGTACATGTGCAGACTGTACAAGTTTGTTACATAGGTATACACGGCCACGGGGGTTTGCTTCATCCATCACTCCGTCACCTACATTAGGTATTTTTCCTAATGCCCTCCCTTCCCTATCTCCCCATACCCTGCTAACCCTCCTCCAGTCTCCCACCCCCTGACAGGCCCTGTTGTGTGTGATGCTCCCCTCCCTGTGTCCATGTGTTCTCATTGTTCAACACCCACTTACGAGTGAGAACATGCGGTGTTTGGTTTTCTGTTCTTGTGTCAGTTTGCCGAGAATGATGGTTTCCAGAGTCATCCGTGTCCTTGGAAAGGACATGAATCATCCTTTTTTATGTTTGTGTAGTATTCCATGGTGTATATGCGCCACGTTTTCTTTATCAAGTCTATCAATGATGGGCATTTGGGTTGGTTCCAGGTCTTTGCTATTGTGAACAGTGCCGCCATAAATGTACATGTGTGTGCGTCTTTATAATAGAATGATTTATAATACTTTGGGTATATACTCAGTAATGAGATTGCTGGGTGAAATGGTATTTCTAGTTCTAGATCCTTGAGGAATCACCACACTGTCTTCCACAATGGTTGAACTAATTTAGGCTCCCACCAACAGTGTAAAAGTGTTCCTATTTCTCCACATCCTCTCCAGCATCTGTTGTCTCCTAATTTTTTAATGATCGCCATTCTAACTGGTGTGAGATGGTATCTCAGTATAGTTTTGATTTGCTTTTCTCTAATGACCAGTGATGATGAGTATTTTTTCATATGTTTGTTGGCTGCATAATGTCTTCTTTTGGGAAGTGTTTGTTCATATCCTTTACCCACTTTTTGATGGGGTTGTTTTTTTCTTGTAAATTTGTTTTAGTTCTTTGTCGATTCTGGATATTAGCCCTTTGTCAGATGGGCAGATTGCAAAAATTTTTCCCATTCTGTTGGTTGCTGGTTCACTCTGATGATAGTTTCTTTTGCTGTGCAGAAGCTCTGAAGTTTAATTAGATCCCATTTGTCCAGTTTGCTTTTTGTTGCCATTGCTTTTGGTGTTTTAGTCATGAAGTCCTTGCCCATGCCTATGTCCTGAATGGTATTGCCTACGTTTTCTTCTAGCGTTTTTATGATGTTAGGTCTTACGTTTAAATCGTTAATCCGTCTGAAGTTAATTATTGTGTAAGGTGTAAGGTTAACACTTACCTGAGAATGATAGTGTCATTTACTGAGTAGTTAAAATTCAGAGAGAAACTGATTAGAGGGCAACAGGGGAAGCTCCTAATCTTGCACAAGCATTGCGGTAAATGCTTATGTTATATGTAAGTATTTATTAAATCTTCACACAAATTCTAAATAATGGAACTACCCTTTTTCAGAGGGGAAAAATACAAGTTTCAGGAGGTTAAATAGCATACTCAAGGTCAGGTATGAAGTAGACATGGAACAAAAATCCGAGACTCTTTAATTAAAGCTCATTCTCTCAACCATTAGTTTAGACAACTTTAGCTACTGATTTCAAACAGCACAGATTAGCATGTAAGAAGGTTTTTCATTTTACCTTTGTAATGGTTTTACTCTGAAGCTATTGGCTCAAACTTTGTGTATAGCACATAAACATAACTTTTATTTGTTTGTGGTGTATTTGTTTAGCTACCTGAAGATGACATCTTTTATCCTCCTGTCACATGTATACACATACATCTTTTCTGCAATCTTTCACTCTCCAAATGACACTTCTAAATTCACCTGATTATTAAAGATAATAATAATTATCTTTAATTATTCACCTGGATGTTAAAGATGTTGTTAATGATGGTGATAGTGAGAGTGATAATGTTGTTAGCAGTGGTGGTGATGGTATTGCAGGGTTGACAATGATGATGATGGTGGTGAGGGTAATAGTGACTACTGCAATGGTGGAAATAGTGGTAAAACGTGTGGTGGTGGTGCTAGTTGCAATGGTGGTTGTTGCAATGCAAAATAGTAGTGGTCGGTAGTGGTGGTGGTTTTAATGAAAAATCACTTTTCCTTGGCCTTGGTGACAAAAGAATAAGTAAATCAAAGACAATAAAACCAACTAGCTTCCATGAATACTCTTTGTATTATTTTGGACTCTTCTCAGGAGAAGAGGCACTTAGCCTTTATGCCATATTTTAAGTTAAGAAGCAGTCACAGGTGTGATAATATCTAACATTTGTTAAGTTCCCAGAATGTCATGTACAGTGTGAGACACTTGACCCATGATGACACATTTAATTCTCACAAAAAGTTTATGGTTATCCTTGTTTTATGAATGAAATAACTGAGAAAGGCAAAGGTTAAATAGTTCGTCAATTCTGCACACTTCATACACAGCAGAGTAGAAACGGAAACCCAGGCGGTCTGGCTCCAGCATCCTCATGCTTCCTCTCTGCTCCTCACTGTGAAGCTCAACCAAAAACAGCCCCAGTGCCTGCTGGAGATCTCCCTCCAGAGTATGTGACCTTTGGTAAATGACTGACAGCCTTTCTCTCTGACCACATTTCAGGCTTCTCCAGCTAGAGCATGTCTGCCTATTGAAATTTAATGTGTTAGAATAATTTTAGCTTATTTAACACAAGCACTTTTAATAATAGTTTTGTAAATTTTTATTTCAATAAGTAATAAGACATTCATTTCACCTGGTAACGATCATGATTTAGAATCGTTAAAGTAACAATTTTTATGTAATTTATATTTAATTTTCTTCCCTTGTAAACTCACTTACTCATTTAAAACATGTATTGCAGCCTACAGCAGGCCAAGAATCAGAGTAGACTGTGGCTCGTTATTGTGATTGTACATTCTGGCATACTCCCTTTTTTTCTAGAGTCACATGGGGTTCTGAACTTTAAATTTCACTGTAATGGAAGAGAATACTTAGTATTCATAGCACTGGTATGGTTAACTATGGAGTGTTTTATACTTCAATTGAACAACACAATATTTTTCTTAGAGAACATAAGAATGCTACAATGTTAAAATTCTCTGCTGAATTTCAGTATCTGTAAGCTGATACTCAATTTATGAAGGCATTGCTCTAGATATAATGTTAGAGGAGAACAGAAGTTGTTTTTCTTTAAGTAGAATAAGTAAAATGGAAATATCAATTAAGGCTTGCTTAAAAATCAAGACAATGTAAGTTTTGGAGTTGGTGGGTAGTGATGATAACAAAACAATGTGATAGTACTTGGTGCCATTGAACTGTACACTTGTAAGTTAAAATAGTGAATTTTGTGTCACATATATTGTACGGTAATGACAAAGTCATTGAGAAAAAAATAATGCAACATTTATTTATGAATTTCACCCATCTCGAGTTGAAAGATGAGGAAAAGAAAACACCAGAGAGCTTAATTCTAACTCTTCAAATATGTATTTGACAATTATTTTTAGTACCTTCTTGAGTCTGTCACTGTAGAGCCATCAATAGAAACTTGTTAAGTGCTCCTGTATTCCTTGTTTTGTAATAATCACTGAGTTAACACCAAATGATTTTAGCCCTATAACTATCGCTTGTGGGACC